AGGCCCTGTTTGCTCATTCTTCACTTGCTTTCCTTTGAATATAGGCAACATGTCATCTTCCTCAAAGTGTGTGGCCAGAAAAGAAAGGGAAATTACTAGATTTAGTGAAAAAATGGCCAATAGAGCTGGAGACTCCTGGTGGGATTCCAGTTACCATGTCTTCGGCTACCAATAGCTAATTGCAGATCGTGAATATTCATGGTGTTGTTAACTAGTTAATACAGAACACAGCTGAGATGAACTTTCTGGTAGATGTGTACAAACAGCCTCTACTTTAGGATATTCTGGAAGACCGTGGAGAATGGGTGAGCCGCTGACAAGGGCATCCAGCAGTTCACAGAGGTGAAGGAGGGTAAAGTCTGAACAGAAATAGCCTGGGGGCCGGTGTTAGCTTGGCAATGACTCCTACCCTGAAGTGGTTAGAAACAGATTAGACAGGGTCAAATACCTCGTGTCAAGTGGATACACAACAATGGTACAAATGTTATGTGATTATGTATTTAAAAATTATGTAATAGATTACATGCATTACTGAACACTTACTGTGTGCTTGAACACCGCCAGTCTCTACACAGTTACTCAAAGAAGACTTGCCAGCTGCCTACTCAACAGGTGAGCAGGCAAGATTTTAAAGCAACATGTACCCATTACCTAAAGATCAAAATGGGATGGTATTGCAGCGTAGCCAGCAGCGAGGGAAATTTCCACTCAGAATTTCTGTCTGTTCTTACTCTGTCTTGCAATTTGGTTCAAGCCTTGCACTGTTACACAGACAGAAGGAAGATATGAATCTAGACGGAGCTTTCAGGGTTCTGATGGCCGAGCACTGGGCTAGACTCCAGAGTCAAAAATAGACTTGGGCATCTGTGACTTTAGGGAGCTGCACTCCCAGGTTGCCTTAGGTTTTCCTCCATGTTGGGACACAGGCATAGGCCAAGACCCCTCATTCACCTCAGTACTGACGGCGAATTTTGCTTTCTCTATCTGTTGCTTTGGTGCACGAGGCTCTGCATATCTTGAGGGACCTGTGATCCCCCAGGGCCTAACTAAAACAGGCCCCATCCACATGTTTCCTATTTTATCTAAGTTTCTTATCTGCACTACCCCACCTGTCCTGATCTCCAAGATCTAAACATCAAAATCCAGACAACAGTCATTTAATTCCCAGACCCCTTGAAGAGCTCCAGGTCGCCATCTCTAGGCCACCTCACTCCTCCTCTCCTTTGTTCCAAGTGAAACGCCCCTGTCCCTCCACTGCTCTGGCTCCTAACTGATCCACTGTTTCCTCTTCTACACCATCCCTGTGATCTGTCCCTGTCCCTTGGGAATTTGAGGTAAAAAATCATCATTTCAATGGTCTGATGCAACCAGTTCAAAATTTGTACTAATGCATTAAGTTTTCACCCAAACCTCTTGCCTATCTCTAGACCTAACCTCTTGCCTATTTCTAGACCTAGGGCTGTACAGCACTACATCCTAAGTGCTGTAGAAGCAACCACGTATTTTGTCTTCAGTGAAAGAGGAGACCCTGTCATCTCTACTGTAGAGAGGGCGTCATCTGCACACTGTGCCATCTAGGCACCTCCAAGTTAAGGATATAGACTTGGAGTTGGATATAGACTTGGAGCTGTTGACTGGGAGTCAGTCTAGTGTCTGGCTCCTGAATTTATATATCCAACATTTTGCTCAGCCTCTCTATGACCTGCGTGCAGACTGACTAAGAATCCCAGGGAAGCAGACTAACCTCTCTCCAGCCTTCTTATCCAGCCGCCTGCAGCTGGATATCCGGTATCTGTCCTCCCGCACGTCTCTGAGAGACTAAGGTTCTTTGCGCTTCACTGCACCGCTTCAGGAAAGCAAAATATCACCGAGCAACCGGGACTATTTTGTCCTTGCCCTGCAAATGTCCTCGTGCCCAGAACAAAGACCGAGACCATACATCCAGACGTTTGTAATCTGAAAAAAACTTACCCCAAGCTGTGCAAGCAGTAAGAGAAAGCCAGACCAGAGGGTAGAGCCACATTGTGGACGGACAGGTCTCCACGGGTCTGTGAGGTATCTGCTCTTCTAGCAATGCTTCTACTGTGGACCCAGGGGCCCGCCCCCTTAAGTCTTGCTCAACCAGTCCAGTTATGTAACTAAAGCTCTCCTCTTCCAAAGAGCTCCCTCGGTGTCAGTTGGGACCTCCAAGCCACGCCCACTAAGAGTTTACCCACTTTTATCTGAACAGTCAGTACCCAATACTCAGATTACAAATAGCCAGAATCCCATCCAACAGCTTCTTATGTAAGTGCTTCTCCCTACAATGCTCTCGCTCTCGCCGCAGTGAACCTTGGACTCTGAGGAGCAGGCAGCAGCAGACAGATGCCTGCAGGTAGGGGAAGTTTTGGTCTGGGGTCCTTATACAAAGCAAACCATTGGTAGAACGTCCTCACACTGCTCAGCTGGGAAGTAAGAACACATTGCTCATTGCTCAGTCTCCCTGGACTGGCATTTCTTAGATCCATGCTCTCAAGTTTGGAAGGAATCTCACCCTCCATCAACCTTCAGTATCTTTGCAGGATTCGCGCCAAGTGACCTGGCCCACCACATGGCACCTTCAGGGTCAAGGAAATCTACCCTTCAGAACAAGGCCCTTTGAACACAGTGTCCTTAAAATGAATGAGCTCCACTGATCACAATCCTTGCCTCTAAGAGTCCGTGTATATATGGATTCTTCAAACATTTGCCAAGTCATGTGGCCTCTCCTTTCATAGGAACATACAATAGCAGGTGGCAGTAGGTGATGCATCTCTAGAATGGCTGGCTCTAGCCTGTTTCAAGAATGTCCATCGCCTCTTCATGCTTGAATGTCTGGGTACCTCTTTTCATCTTATCGTTGTGTATTTGGTGTATTTTACTTAGCCATTTATTTTTAAGTCTTTGAGAAGCATCGCTGCGTTATTTGTGTTTCCATTTTCATTTGATTTTTATGAATCTTCAATTACTTAAAATTAGGAAATTTCAACTGATTAGTTTTGGAAAAAGTTCATGAACTGATAAAATAATAGATACTCTATAGTTCTGCAGGGGACTACTCTGTAAATTGACATCCATTGACGCATATCTATGCCTTTCTAAAATGCAGGCGGCCATGACAGAACTCCTGTGTTCTGGGTCCCGTAAGTCGTGTCTCCATTTTTATTTCACTTAAGGAATTTTGTAATCTGCCCCCTCTTCCCTCTGTTTCTTTAATGAATCATTGTTCATTGCAAATTATATTGTGCAGACTTCATTATTCATACTTGTCTGATTTCTTTATAGTTTCATTCTCTATGCTCTGACACAGTGAAAGAAGTTATTGCAACTTTCCTAATCATATTTGTACATGCTTTATGTTTGCTAAGACTTTGTTATCTAAACTGACCTGCTGGTTAATCATCCATAAGATGGCGAAATGATTGTGGATTTTGCATCTGTTATGGAATACGCTGTAAATTTCTGTGAAGTCTGTATGATGTGGTACGTAATTTAATTCTACTCTTTATTGACTTTTTTAGTTTGATGATCTCCCTATTGGTAAGAGGAAGGTATTGAAATCACCCATTGTGTTTGTGCTAGAGGCCCTGACACTACTGCTACTGTGTTGGTACCCTAAAATTCTGTGTATTTGCAGTCATCGTAGTTTGGGTTGCGTTTGTGCATTTATCAATGTCTTTTCTGACTCATTTTGCTATGAAGCCTATTGAGTTTGGTCTGATTATAGCTTCTTTTTTTTTTTGCTTTCATATTATTTATTTAGATATCTTTTTTCCCCTCTGTTTGTTGACGTTTTCATGGTGAGGTGAGTTTCTTGCAAGCAACAAACTGTTGAGTCCATTTTTAGCAATCTAATCAGCTAACCTGTGTCTTTTAATTGAAGAAATAAGACTGTTTACATTCTTTGTGTACTAGCTTTGCTGTTTATTGTTTTCTTCTAGTTGTTTTGAGTGGGCTATGCCTGCTTCTTTCTCTTCTATTTTCCAGAGGTTTGGCTACTCACTGATTTAACAGTGCTTGATTTTTTTTATGATCCCCATTTGCTTATTTTCTCTTCTCTTGTGACTTAATCTTTCTCTCGTTGTCATGGTTAATTTTTTATCTTACTTCTCTAATGCTGGGTTAGCACTCACAAATTCCTTTAGTTATGTATTTTGATGGCTTTTTTTCTACTTTAATTTTGAAGGATAACTTTGTTGGTATAAGTGTGATGTTAAGTTGGGAGTGTCAAGTGTCTGTTACTCGAGCCCCTGTCATCCATCCCAGCCTCCTGGCCTGAGAGTTGCATTGGTCTGGACTCCAAATCCCAGCATGCCAGTTCCTGATCCTCCCCTGAGTCAGGAACACTCCCATAGGGTATTAAAGTGGGCACCCAGAGGAAGAACACATGGTCCCGGGTTTTGCATGTGCTCCCTGGTTTTCTGTCTCCCCTGCCATGCTCTCAGCCACCGGAGAGTGCTGCGTTTATTAAAATGGGCATTGTAATTCGGTTTAATTTGGCCTGAATGGATTTCTGTGCTCTGGCAGAGAGGATTTTTTCTTAACAATAAGTAATCTAGATGGGTCATTATTTGTATTTGGCAATTGAAAACATAAGGGAAGAAACAGAATGTACTAAAATGTTAGAAATCAAAAAATTTACAAATAAATGACTAATAGAACAGAAAATATTCAAGAGAGAGAACCGTGAAAGAAGGGAGGGAAATATAATTAAACAGCAAAATAAGGGCTTGTGCAATGACTCAGTAGGTACAGTTCCTTGCTGCCTGATGACCTTCATTCCATCTCGAGACTCACACCCTGGAGGGAGAGGACAGACTCCTATAAATTGTGTTTGTATTGCTTATCATAACCAGCAGGGTCCTTTTTCTTTTTCTTTTCCTTTCTTTTCTTTCTTTTTTTCTATCTTTGTTTTTTATTTATTTATTTATTTATTTTTCCGAGACAGGGTTTCTCTGCAGCTTTGGAGCCTGTCCTGGAACTCTTGCAGACCAGGCTGGACTTGAACTCATAGAGATCAACCTGCCTCTGCCTCCTGAGTACTGGAATTAAAGTCATGTGCCACCCCTGCCCAGCTCCCAGCAAGATACTTTATGAGTGGAGCCAATTGTAGCTCTTCAGATACTCTGATCACCAGAATGAGCAGGGGTGGGCAGCGCTGGTGTTGTCTTCACAGCCAAGCCTGGGTTGAACTGATGGTGTCATGCACCACGTTGCTAGCGCACATTTCTTTTGCCGGCTGGGTTGAGTGTGGTGTGGGTTGTGACATGCTCTGGTGTTACAACATACAGAGTGGAGTGGAGTGGTAGATTGAAACTGCCCCTTCCCCTTCCCCCACCGGGTGATACTGGAAAGTTGCCCACACAACCCCGTGACCATTGACTTTCTCACAGCAAAACAAGCTCTCAAGGCTGACTTGTCAATCTGTCAACAGAAATTTGCTATGGGTTCGTGGAGCCATGGAAATGCTGAAAGTATTTCTTCAGAGAAACAGTGTTAGACTCAGCTTCTTTCTTAAGATGACTGGGTCTCTGCTGACAGTACCCGCATGAACATGTGAGTCTTCTGAATGGTTATTTATAATCCCCAGTCTACTCAATTTAACACATGCAGTATTACTCTGTCTAGATCAACTGCTCAGTCTGTCTCTTGTTAACCAGGTCTTCCTTTCTGTGGCTGTAATTTCTGCATTTAATATTTGATACAGTGTCTACAAAAAAAAGAGAAATAAACTGAAGTAGATGGCATTTGTGAGGAAGCATGAGCATGCTTGCTTTCTGTTAGTGGAACCCCAATTCTTTGTGTGTGTGTGTGTGTGTGTGTGTGTTAAAGGGCTTGAATTTTTCTAGTGTAGGATAAAAATGAGGCTTTGTTTTTGCTGTTCTCTCCTTACCTACCACAGACCTACTTCCTCCAGACTATGCTCGTGTTATCCAGAGCTTTGTTTACACTATATGCTAATATTAGTCAGTCCTTTGTTTATACTCTATTTTGTTTACACAATATGCTAATGTTATCCAGTGCTTTGTTTACACTATATGCTAATGTTAGCCAGTACTTTGTACTTAGTACTACATGCTAATGCTTGAGAAATTAGCAGAAAAAGTATGCTTTCATCTATGCTTGGTCTGCCAGTCATTTCCCAACTCCATCTCACCTGTCCCAGGAGAAGCCTGCACCTTCAGCCAATTCTGTGCCCCCAGAACTTCCCCATTTCCCATTTTTATTTGAAACCAAAAGAAATTTTAACCACAAAATATGTAAATTTTTTGCATTTGATCTAATACAAAATTGATACATAATCAAGAATAAAAGAAGCCTAAGAATGATCACAATAAACACACCACTGGAGGTATGTTGAATACTTTGTAGAAATCCCTTAGGATCTAATCCTGTCAGTTTATCAGCAAAAATTTGTGGAATGGTGGAGGCATCTGAATGGGGGAATGATTTAGCAAAAGTAAATCCTCTGTTATCATGTGAATGGTCAATGAGAGCTAGAGCAGAAACATTGTCCTAAAGATAAGCTTGAACAACCTTCCATTCATGTAAGGAATCATTATAAGCCAGATCAGTAAAGCAAAAAGTGGTTGAATTCCAATCACAATGCAAGGTAATTTGTTCTTGTAAAGATAGATATTTCTTTTCCAACCATCCCACAGTTTGCTTAAGCACATCAATCTCTGACTGAAGTCGAGCATCTATTTGAGCTTTCTGTATCCAGAGTACATGAGAGTCTTTATGCCATTGCTCTACAAAGGGTTTTGTTTGCAAGGACGTATGTAAAGCAACACCAGCCACAGAAGCAGTAGCAACAAGGGCCATAAGATTAAGATTTACAGCTATTACTACACCTAACATGCACTTTGTTCTTTACAATATCTTTTTTTGAAGAATTCTGCAACAGTATGATCTAAAGGATTTTGAGCCCAAGAATGACCTAAGCTTACAAGTAGCCAAATATGTGTACACTGCTGTAATATCATAAGTGATTTATTATGAGGATTAAACTTAACAGAGGAATTAATAAAAGAATACAATTGGCAATCACAACAATAAATTCCAGTTGTAAAATTGATTCTTCCAACTAAAAATACACATGGTAGTGGTACACAAGCAGTAAAATTAGTACTTTTAAACAAGATAAATTTGTAAGTAGAAGTAGATACTGCTGTTCTAATTCATGAGCCATTAAAAAGCCAAACAGGTTTTAAGGCAGCTATGATCTTCCAAATATGAGTCTGGCAATGCAATTATCACTGATTTCTCCATCTCCCCATGCCAGAAGACGGCTTCCAGTTATCGTTTCAATCTTGGCCCTATTCATCCTGGTGACATTAAGCAAATCGCAAGTGGTAATATTCCACTCAGAGCAAGTGTTAATAAATTGACCATATAGGCCCAACTGATTCATTTATTTTGAATTATTTTGCTAAATTTGTCCAAGCAAGTCTTACAAATAATTGGATGTTATTTTAAACCATAATATGTAAAATCTGGATATGATAATTCATAATTTTCAATAATATTGTCCCAGGTCTGATTAATAGACCATGCTGAAAGTCTTTGAAGACAAGTACGAGATCTGCCAATTTTAATACCAGGCTGCAACCAATGCTGAAATCCCACTGACAAACATTTGAAAGAACCATTTTCAAAACATATTGGCTTTCTATCATTCATATAAGTAAAATTATATGGAGTCCCATCAAAATTATTCAGATAAATGACGTTATTCCAAGGAGGAGAAAGGATACTTGGAGTGGTATACACTAACACATCAGTATCTCCCCAAAAGACAGGCTCGAACATAGGTGGGTTAGGAACATAAGCCCAATATCTTACAGCTGGTCCCTGAACAGAAGAGACAGTTAACAGAGCACACAGCTGTACCAGTCTTTTGGACTGCTGGACAATAATCTGACCCTGGGCTACAAGATATTTCACTTGACCCAAAGTTGGTAATGGTGATGTTGTCAAGGTCACTTCCATGAATATAACTGTACCGTGGCCAATACTGGAATGTCTTCTTTGGGAGCCATAATTGTTGCTCATCCTGCAGAGAGACAAGACTATACCCTCTCCCTTTCACCATTAGCAATACAAGCTGCCATTCAGCATCTATGGCAATTTTTCTGCTAGTTCAACATTCAGAGTGTCAGCAAAATATTTCTCTGCTCTAGTTACAATATCCCCTTGGGGCAGATTTAAGAAATTTAATATAAATTAACGCAAAATTGCCCTACTTCTTCCAAAAAAAACTCACATTAATTTCAAACCAAAATCTTTCTTTTTAATTTTTTAATTTACTATTTTAAAATACGATGGGCTTTAAAGGATAATGGGCACATTTAACAATAGCTTGACCTTGTGGATTATATTTAATACCTGTTACATAAACAATATTATACCATTTATAGAATTTAGCAAAATGTTTTGAAATTCCATTATCTGTTTTAACAAGAGAGGAAACACCCATGATAGGAAACACTTTTAAGAAATACTGCATAACATAATTCCCCAGGTAAGTCAATGGAGACCCTAGCAGGGCAATGAGAACTGAAAGGGACAAGAGACACAAGAGATGGAGACAAGATAGGATTCTGATCAAGTCTTGTTTATTCAAGGGAATAAGCAAGGTAAATATAGGGTAAGGGAAAGGAGGAAATTCTTGTTGAGTGACTGGGTAACTAGGCAACTTACTAGGCAACCTAACCATGGTCTAATGGTCAGGTGGAGAGTCCCTAACTACAACATGCAGAAAAGCCAGAATATTCAGAACACATGAACAGTGGAGCAATAACTCCTTGCAGGGTTAGTATTTGACAGGTCAGAACAGCAGGCGAAGCCAAGCATAACAGGGTGGGCAAAAATCCAGGGAGCAATAAGTCTCCCACACCCCGCCTCTGCCAACTTCTACCACACAATTCCCTAGTCTCCCATATAGCTCATCATTAGCCAAAATAATCTACTGTGGCGTAGGCTCATTTGGGCTCCCCTGGTCCTCTGAGATGGGCAGAGCCTTCCAGTCATAGTTCAGTGTGTCCTGTCCATGGTAGCTTCTTAGCCAGGAGCTCAGTCTAAAAAGCAACTTCCTTGTCTTTTAACCTTTGGGCTTCCTGGGTGGTAACTCCAATCTGCAGGTACCCTTCCTTCTGGTCATACTCTGGCCAATGGGGCAGCCCCTTTCCATTGGGATTTCTGGGAACAGAATCAAATAGAATTCCTTAGAATTGCTCTGTGTTCCAACATTCCTATCATATGTATTGGAGTCCCTGGTTTATCTCTTCCAAAGACTTGTGCTCCACAGAGATGGGAGCAGCATTTTCTGAACCCTGTGGTCACGGGGTTAGAGCTGATCACTTAAAATTTAAAAGTCACCCCTTCGTATTGGGTTTCCTTATTGCCTCATCTCACCCACCAACCTGGCCCCATCTTGGATCACCAGACTCACCCAATTGAGCAAAGTTGGCCCAGAATTTCATCACCATCTTCTTGAGACTGATCTCCTCTTCTGAGGCACTACCTGTGAGCAATAAGAATAATCTTTTTGAGTCAGTTCATGGTTCATGAGCTAACAAGCAGGTATCCTTTAGGAGATTATTAGAGAAGTAGAGTTTGGGCTTTCACGCCAAAGCTATTGAATCAAAATCTCCATTGCTAGGAGAGTATGCTTATTTGGTGTACAATTTCAGTTTGAGAATTACGTATCTAGGACACTGCAGACACGTCATTCATTCTTCTGGTGGTGATCCACACCCATTACTAATCTCCTTGATATGGAAATACCACAGGTGAAGAATTCCAGTGGATCATGGAATTCGCAGGATTGCTGAACCTCACATTTTTTCTTAGTATTCTGCACAAACCCACAATTAGATGTCGAATAGCCTTAGGACATGATCTTGAGAGCTGTACAGAGTGTATCATAAATAGCCATAAGATGGATTCCGATCAGTCATGAATCCCAGCAGTTGTTCTAAGTCAGGGTATTGAAGATGTTCTGAAAGGTTTTCTTTAGATATTGTATTATTAATTATAATATAGGTAAAGTATCACATGTGGCTAGGCTTGCATATGGGTAGACAGATGCACATGACAACTGACTCACAGTGAGGAACAGCTTGACCTCATCCTCACTCAGATTCTAACATGTCATTTCGAGCAGGAAATGAAGCAACAATGACATTCTTGTCTTCCAAATAGACACTCAAGTGACCCATTTCTCTTGGTGCTATTACTGGTCAAGGTTCTTATAGAGAGTATTGCTGGTTTCCCATGAGTGTGTGCCTTTCTCATATATGCTGGAATGGGAGAAAGGCTTGACACTTGACAATGAGTTCAGCCCGGTTGCCCTGAGTTGGGAAAGGAACATCAGGAGAGGAGGAGAAATGAGCTCAGGGCTACAGGAGCAAGATTGGAACCCAGACTTCCTGACCATAAACTCACAGGCAGCAAAGCTCCATTACCTTACCTCTTAAAATCGGGGCACCGAAGACAGAGTAGACTTCATCTCCATGGTCTCCTACCACAGTACTGGGTTTCATTTCTGGTGAGAAGCTTGGGCGTTACTGAAACTCATACATATAGGTGGGGGCTCCAGCATCTGGGAAGACATGGATTCACATACAGTTCAAGTTGCCAGACATAAGTCTGTATGGTGTCAAGGGCTCTGGAATGCAGGCGACCTCTATCAGTGCATCAGGGAAATGGTTTAACCCAAGCTTCTTGATGTGTTTTAGCCCTGTACAGCCTGTGGAAGCAAAGGTGAGATTCACGCGAGGGAAACGATTTGTGACTGCACTGCATCCAGCAAGCACACAGGACTGTGCCCTGATAACTCACCAGTGTTCGTTTGTTTAAAGATCTGTAACTTGCTGGGTGTCCTCCATTCAGCCTGTTTTAAGCATTCTACGTGTCTTTCTCACTTCTTCAGAAAAATGTAAGGGACTTCCAAGATACTTGTCTGAAAACGAGGGTTTCCAAACACAGATACATGCAGACATGGACACTGGTCACTTATGTCTCAGAAATACAACACTGGAGAAAACTGTCCTTCAGGTGTGAGGAAATGGCAGCTTTCTCAGACAAATCAAATCTTCTGAAACTCACCACTCTAGACATGCCTTATAGGAACCCTTAGAGTTTTTTAAGCACAAATTTAAGCAGAAAGATAATGATGGGTAACAGGAGACAAATGAAAGCACAGAAGTCAATGACACAGAACAACATAACACTATTCAGAACACCTAGCATGTCCATGGCAATCTTGCTCCTAGTACAGGGACCAAACAAAAGTACTATAAGAACATAACTAAGTCAAATGGTAGCAATAGCCAAAATATTTTCATTACAAAGTGATATATATTTTGGCTTTAGAGTCATAAGTAGAGGAGTGTGAAATATGGAGTTGTTCCAGTAATTAAAATTGTTCTTGGCATTCTACACCAGAGCATCTAAGTATATAAATCAAGAAGATCTGAAGGGCTAGAGAAGTAGGTTGTAATACAGTAATAAAGGGGGCTTTGGTACAAGAGCGCTGTTAATGATGGATCATTCAGACAGAAAGTTTCTAAGGAAACATGATCCTGATCAGTATTTTGAAAAGTCAATATAATAGCACTCTACATAATATTCCACCCGACGCCAACAAAATACCTATCACTTCCAAGCACTCACAGATCATTCTGTCAAACATATCACATGTGAGACACAACACAATCATCAGCTAATACAAGAGGACTGGAATTAGAGCAAGTGTCATTTCTGATCACAGTGGATTGACACTAGACATCAACACCAGGAGGAATTTTAGAAAACTCATAGAATCATGGAAAGAAACATGGTCCTGAGTCACTAATATGTCTGTTATGAAACTAAGTGGAAAAAATTAAAGCATACTGAAAAAGGGCTGTAGAGATGGTTCAGTGGGGAATCATTGGCCACACATGAGTGTGGACAAGTGTTTGGATGCCCAGCATGCATGCAAATACAGCCCGTCTGTGGCATTACAGATGGTGTAATCCTAGAGGGCTAGAGGCACAGTCAGAAAATCTCCAGAGCAAGCTCACTTCAAGTTGAATTGTCAATCACTGAGTTCAAGCCAGAGGCCCTGTCTCAATATACGAGATGGAGAGCCAGAGAAGTCTGGTCTTTACACTCACATACACAAGTGTGTGTCCACACACATATGAACATTCATAGGGTTTTGTGTGTGTGCATGCATCTGTGTATGTGTGTACAAAAATGAAATCACAGCTTACCAAAACTTATGGAATATAGCAAAAACAGTTGCATGAAAAACATTTAAAACATTAAACAAGGACATCTAGAAAGAGGTAAAGTACCAAATGACCTACAGTTATACAAAAGGGATTTAAAAGAATAACAAAATGAACCCAAGGGCAGCAGGAAGAGAAATAATCAGGATTAGATAAAAAGCCAAGGCCAGGAGAGTTGGCTCAGCAGTTAACATCATTGTCTGCTCTTCCAGAGGACCTGCCTTCAATTCTTCAATTCTCAGCATTCAATTCTGAGCTCTAACATGGAGACTCACAATAAACATACACAGCTCCAGGGGATCTAGCACCTCCTCTGGCTTCTGTGGGCACAAAGCACACACATGGTACACAGCCATGCATGAAGGCAAAAGACCCACAAACATAAAACTAACTAAATAAGAGTATTTTAAAAAGTGATTTCTGAAACTATGAAATAGAATAAAAGAAATAAAGAGTTTTTTCTTTTTCTTTTTAAATAAAAGCAAAACTAACAAAACCTTAGTCAAACTAAGAAAAAGAGAGAAGATTTACATACATGAAAGAAATGAAAGCCCTGGTGTTCTAAAAGCCACCACAGAGGTCAGGGGAGAGTCAGAGTATTACAGACTGTTTTATACACACAACCTGGATTACCTAAGACACAAGAAGATGTTTGCCAACCAGTGTAGTCTACCGAGAATGAAGTAGGTCTGGAGAATTAGACCAGTGGTTAGGCTGAAGAATGATGCTCTTCCTGAGGACCAGATTTTTTTTTCATAGCATTAGGAAGCTCAGTAACCACAGCTTCAAGAGATCCAGTACACACTTCTGACCTTTACAGCACTTGTAACATGTGTGCATGCACACACCCAAACACTACAAATAGGCTAAGTTAGTGATGACATAAGCCTCCTATCTATGAATAAACAGCCCACATTCTGATGACTTCACAGTGAGGATGTAAGCTTCCTGTCTACGAATAAACAGCCCACATTCTGATGACTTCACAGTAAGGATGTAAGCTTCCTGTCTACGAATAAACAGTCCACATTCTGATGACTTCACAGATGACACCACAGAGAAAAGCTAGTGTCAGCCAAACAATCTCCCCAAATTTCTTTAAAAATCAAGAAAGTGAGAGTAGTCCAGGGCAGCATTACCTTCAGACTAAAATAAGACAAAGACATTATAGGAACAATTCAATAGCAGATACACTATATCGTCCATAAGTATAACATCAGTGATCACTGCAAATAAAAACTCATAATGAAATAGTGTTTTTCCCAGTCTGAATGTATTTTGTAAGAAAAAAAAAGAAACTCATTCATACAATTTGTGCACTAACTACAAAACACTAGGACACTGTTTAAAGCAAGTTAAAAATAGAATTAACATAACCAGGCAGTGGTGGTGCATGCCTTTAGTACCAGCACTTGGGAGGCAGAGGCAGGCGAATCTTTGTGAGTTCAAAGCCAGCCTGATCTACAAGAGCTAGTTCCAGGACAGACTCCAAAGCTACAGAGAAACCCTGTCTCAAACCAAAAAAAAAAAAGAAAAAAAAAAGAAAAAAATGGAATTGACATGTGACAGGTTGATCCAATTTTTGCATTTACCCCTAACCTTGAAATTAGTGTGTTGAAAATGCAGTTGCTCCATGATTACACTGGTCACCAAAGTCAAGTTATGGAATTACTGTGTGTCCATCAATAGATCATCCATAAAGACAGCGTGGAATGCTGTAGGTGGAATAATCCAAGCTCTTAAGCACGTTGCTTCAGATAAGGAGCCCTGTGACAGGTGGTGTGTCACTTGTTCCTGTTTGCAGCCTGACTCCTGTCTGCCTCTACCTCTGTTACTCTTTACCTGAGGGTTCTTTGTCTGGCCACTACACACTACCTGCGCAGGAGCCTAACACTCAACAGAAACAGCAGTCATTTGGACCAGGATTAGCCTAATGGTAAGCGGTCAATGATGGATAAATACCCTGAGTCCCTACTACTCAGGTGGGATCGCCTTGAGATATGAGTTCTGCTTGTTTACCAGCCCTCCCCAGATCCAGCTCTGGTGAATAGATGCTTAGTCATCATTCATTGGCCTCCGTTTCCTTCCAGCATCATCCCCTCTTCTCCTAACTCAGGTTTTCTGGAGCCAGCACCCTTTTAATCCCTTGCATTTCAGTGCTTTCCCCAAATAATGCCATTGGCACAAATCAAAGAGGACTGTGACAAGATAAGGCCAGTCAGTCAGTCTTAGAGGATAGGTGCCCACAGCCCACAGTTTGCATATGCCAGGAGGTAAGTCAGTCAGAGAGTAAAGTATTAAAATAAAGGTCCATCTCCTGTCCAACCTCTGGGACTCACCTCTATGTCCATGGGACACAACCACAGATGGGACACCAAACACCACATCTCCAATCAGCTCCAGAAGTTGGTCTTTACGTCTGTCTGGGTCATCTGTGTCTCTTAAATACTTCTCAATGGCAACAGGAATTTTATCCTCAGGGAGGTTGAGGAAAGGGACCACTGACATGGGATTTGTGTGACTTCTCCAGTTCTTTGACTATGAACCTCTTGAGCCCTGAACAAATCCCTCCTGGGTGGTGATGTGGGAAGGTCAGAAAAATGGGGACAGAAGGAAGTCCCCAGTCATCTCATGACATTCAGTAGGGTTGTACTCTGGGACAAATCCACAGCTTTTCTTCATTTCAAAGAAGATCACATAATTGACAATCTGACAAAATTCCCTGGGTGTTTACAAGAATAAAAGAAGGACTTCTTGAATAGTGATGTGGCTGTCTTCTGGTCCAGTTTCACTTCAAGGGGTGGGTAGCTCATCATCTGTTTAAAAACATGGTGAAGCGCCTGTGAATCCCCAGCAGTTAGCAGAAGGAACAAAAACGGTCAAGTGTATTGACTGATTTTGTCAACTTCATACAGGCTAGAGTCATTAGAGAGGAAGAGGCCTTAGTTGAGGAAATGCCTCCACAGGATCCAGCTATAAGGCATTTTCTTAATTAGTGACCATGGTGGGTGGTGCCATCCCTGGGCTGGTGGTCCTGAGTTCTATAAGAAAGCAAACTGAGCAAGTCAGGGAAAGCAAGCCAGCAAGCAGCACCTCTCCATGGCCTCCGTGTCAGCTCCTGCCTTCAGGTTCCTGTCTTGTCTTCCAAGATAAACAGCAATATGGAAGTGTGAGCTTCCTCCATGACTTGCGTTTTGGTTATAGTGTTTTGTTAGGGCAATAGAAACCCTAACTAAGACACGAAGTAATTAAGGCAAAGCAGAATGAAGGTATTGTGCTGGGCTTTGATGGGCATGGCTGTTTATGAGTTTTAGAACGTCGGTGAAACAGATGGGCTTGTATAGAAATCCAGGCATGAGAAAGATAAGATACTCTAAATATGTATATTGATCAGACCACGACAAATGATCCTCAAAGCAGGTAGGAAACAAATCAAAACTCGTTCGTTGTATACTTTGATATCTACAAAACCCTTCTGCAGTGAGAGCTATGGAATTCCCAGCCTGTATCAGTCCTATGCAGTGACATGGTCTAATTCCAGCATAGCTTCTAGCAACTGGAAGCCACATGGCAGGGTGGCTCCAGTCTCCAGATAATGACTGTTGGAAAGCCAACTGCTTTCAGGAGACATTGCTCTTCAACTAAAACAGGGCTTTCCAGGACTGGACCATCCAGGGTTAAAGTTAGCTCAGGAAGAAAATGTCTCAGTGGAAGGATCCATGGATAATAAGAGACAGTTGTCCTAGACACAAGCAGAGGTTGGGGAGGAAAGAACTCATGTTGGAAAACTGATGGGCAAGTGATGTGAGTGTCTTATTTAAGAAGTCTGTTTATGCTCACAGTTGGCAGAATCCAGCCAAACTCTTGCTTGTTGATTCCCACGATGTAGGGCACAGTGTTGAAATTGTTCTCAGCCAGGATCTCTTTGGCATCTTGGGTAGCACCACGCCATCAATTACAGTGGGAATGAAGGGGTGACTCTGGAGAAGAGAGCACACAATGCCAGGAGTAACCCATTTCCCTCTCTGACTTTCTAAGGGAGCATCCAGAACATAAACCCCATGACTTGGGTAGGGGACATAGGAACGTGGGGTCCTAAGAGGGAAATTAAGGGAATATGTGCCACTAAAGCCTAATTTGGGGTACCTCTCAGTGATAAGTCAAGGGAGGCAAGGAAGGAGCAGAGGGTCACTTAGCTGCAATTAAACATATATCATTGTAGATCATTGTAGAATATGTTATTTTATCTCAAGTAGATTATATCATCCAAAATGAGTCTTGTTATTCCTGACAGTTATGCCAGTAAAGTTGCCACAAATGCTACATTAGTGAATCCTGAGTCAGCACTGCTGGGGGATTCCAGAGCTAAGCTCCTGGGAACCTCTGTTCACAACATTGCCATCATCCTTGTATTACATGTGGGTCCCAGTTTTAAAGATGCAATATATAATAAAAAATTATTATGAAAAATTAGTATATGTAGAATTTATTACAGCAAAACACCAGCTTGATTGGGGCTTAGCATTTCCCCAATCATCAGTCTCACAAGAATAAATTTGTCTTCAGAGTCACAATTATAAAGTCTACTATGATTTTTAAATGTGTTGTCTCTTGAATCCACTAATTGACCTAATTTCCCATCTCTTCCTGGGTTTGTCACACACTAAAGGTATCACATGACCACTCTTTAGCATGACTTCCCCAAGAGCTAGGCAATTCTCCTCGCCCTTTTCTGGGTGTTTTGTCATGTTGTCTCATCATCATTGACTCAAGATTGAAAAGCACCATAACTCGAGCCTGGCAGAAGCCCATGTATCAGGAGTGTTTTCTCCATAAGAATTCCCACAGCCTGTCTTCCTTGGGGACCCTGGACATATCAGCATCACTATGCTTTAAAGCATCTTAAGCACAGAAGTCACTTAAAGCAGCAAACACTAAAAATTGGGCGAAAACAGCCCACATGTGTCATTATCAATGGTGACACAAATGATAAAACTTTACTCCAAATGGGATGCTAGGACCATGTGACGCACAGTTAGCTTGCCAAACCTCTCAATGCTCTGTGCAAGTATTGTGGATGACCATGCTAACATCACACCTGTGGACCTAGGACTTCTATGCTCACTTTAGCAAGTGACTAAACTCATAATTGATAAGCTCTATGACTGACGGTGACCTGCATCTCTGTATTAATCGTCTAAATTAGTGATTTTTGAAAAACCACTTGACCTTAGCTGGTTGGGTTATCTCTAAACCATGGTACAGTTAAAAATTAACTATAGAGAACTAAGAGAAAATACTGCTGAAAGAGAGAAGCACAAAGTACGTAAACACCATATCCACTGTCAAGTCATGTCAGATACCCTTTCAAAACTCCAGACCCCAAATACCACCCCACTGCTCTAGGCTGGAGTAACCCACCGAGACCCTCTGCCTGTACAACTGCTATGCATGGGCCTCCCAGTGTGCCCAGCATCTGCTCTGGCTCTTTCCTACACACTGCACTATTTCCACACTGCAGCTGGGGGGACTTTTGCAACTCCATCAGGTCATTCCTCTGCCAGAGACCTCTGGACATGTGCACGGCTTCTTGTGGGGTCACAAGCCAAGTCCTGTCTGTGGGGTTTCCCATCCCACATCCCTGACCAGCCCAGCTTCAGACCTCTTTCTTCCTCCTTGCCCCAACCTGAAACCCCGAAGCCTCCTTCTTCGGGTCTTGCAGCTGTTCTGCCCTCTGCCTGTGGCATTCCTCCTCCAGGTTTCCTGACAGCTGACTTCCTTGCTCTCTCCAGAGCTTCTACTCATGAACTTCAGCCACAGATACAAAAAAGACATCTCCTCTGATCGTGCTATTTACAGAAAATCACTGACCAACTCTCGCCACCCCTCCCAATTTTAAATTTAACTCTAATTGGTAGAAAACATGTATGTATTTACATACATTATTACATACATTATTTTTTCTTGTGCTATGTACCTTGCCTACTAGGACAGAAGTCTCCAAAAAAGCAGGAGATTGTACATACTTCACTCTTGTATCCCAGCTGCTGAGTCAGTCCCTGACACAAAGCGAGTCCTCAGTAAATCATTTCTGGATGACTGAAAGAACCTCATTTCTCTCCCATGATATCCTTTAAGAAAGTTCTGGGATCTCCCAGGGTTAAAACAGAGAGGACAGGACTGTGGCTGGCATAGCTGGGCATTGGAGAGGTGGGAGGGAGGAGATGGAGGGGAATGCTGGACTTTCCTAGGTCAGAGGAGAACAGCAGTCTAGGCTCCTTTCTGTACAGCTTCGACTCTGCTCCTCCCAGGGAACCTCCAGCTGGGCATCTCTGCCTCCCAGGAGAGGAGAGTTCTAGTGGAGCCTCTCCCTGCAGGCTCATTCTGAGAGTGAGGAATATGGACGAGAAGGGAGGAATAAGCCCAGGGCGCTGAGTTGCTGACCAGGAGCACTCTACAGAGAGTTGTGGGTAAATTCAATCCCTGCCTCTGATCCCTCTACCTGTATTAACTGACAATATTTCCACCTCTGGGTCTCTACAATGCCAACACAGGAATGACCACAGTTCCACAAACAGAAGGATTATTCAGAGTTATTTGAAGTAAAAGCGCTGTTAAGACTCAAAAGAGTCTAACCCAGAAAGCAATGGTCCTTACCTGTCTGGAGTCTCCATGCAAATCCAGCTTAAAAAGATTCTGTGAAGATGAAACAGAGGGTGTGTTAAGAAGCCTTCCCTGTACAAAGCCAAGTCTCTGAGCTGTGCTTGGAGTTTAATCAGCCTTTCCTTCCTGATTCCTACAGTATTCTCTGTGCACGGGCACTATGTGTGTGTGTGTGTGTGTGTGTGTGAATATGAGTGTGTGTGTGTGTCTGAATGTGAGTGTGTATGTCTGAGTGTGTATGTAAGTGTGATTGTTTTCTGAGTGTGATTGTGTGTGTCTGAGTGTGATTGTGTGTCTGAGTATGAGTGTGTATGTGTGTGTGGGGGGGAAGCAGAGTCAGGGTCGTTGGTGCTCTGGAAAAGCCTGACCTTCCCTTCATCTTCCCCCCTACTTGTTCTCTCTTGCCACAACACCCCAAGTTCCTCGGCAGGACCAGTGAAAACAGCATGATTGCATGTGGTGCATATGGTAACTGGAAGGGAGGGAGGGCTGAGACGATCTGGAGTGGCCGAAGAAAACACGTCCCAGCCCTCACGTCTTCTTCCTTATCCGGATGTCATGAGTTTAGGCAGCTACATGTGACATGGAGTTACCATGCCCCTAAATATAAATAGCAGTTCAAAGATACCTTTAAGACAGAGTTTACACCTATATATTGATAAAATTTGGAGAAAGCTGGCTTCCTAACAGATGTCATTTACATCTGGAGTGTTGCTGTATTCAACCTCCCAGGGAACAAACCTCCTACATAGAGAAGTCAGCCAGATAGAGGGCAAATAGAGGAATAGAGACTGGCAGATACCAAATATATTCTCAGCACCTGGGTTCAGCTGCATCCTGAGTCCCTTGCTCCTGAGTGTCTTGGTCTTAGTTACCTGAAGATTCTATCACAATACATTCATAAAGTGAATGAGCCAGTCTTGGTTGGAAAACTCTGATGTCTCTGCTCACTGAAAGTCATTCTACTCCGTACTTCCCTGTGTTGTACGTTCATCATCTTCAAAGCAATTACAACGTGACACTTAGCTAATGGATCTGACCCATGTACGGAAAGCAACTCCGCTATGAGTTAGAGTTCTACAATCCAAGGGTCTTAGGTACTTTCTTAGTCTCTCTCTCTCTCTCTCTCTCTCTCTCTCTCTCTCTCTTTCCCCTCCCCTTGTAGTATCATCTTAGAAACTCAGAAATATGTCATATGATCTTAGGTTCTCTGGAGTTTCCCAAAGATAGAAAGTAATCCTGTATGTGATGGGCATTCTATGGATGGAAGAAATATTTTCCCATTCTGGGTATATACATAAAACACATCTGTGAAACAGACATTAATGAGAAAAACTATAATCCCACCACTAAAGATGGTGAAATAGGAGAATTGAAGGGTCAGACAGGCACATAGTGAGGCCATCTCATAAATCCAAAGAACAAAAGAAAGCTGCTGTTCTTAACTCTGAAATGCTTGAACTTTGTTATATGGTTCCTGATAAACGATAATCCAAGACCCAAGATCATCTTAGACTCAACCCCTGAATTGAGTCTAAAAACAGAATGCTAGAGGTAAGTCTATGGGAATCCAGGAGTATACTCTAGTGTACAATGTCCTTATGAGGAGAAAAGGCTCTCAGCTGAATCCTAAGACATCATCTGTACTTATCCTTAACAAATGGAGTAGTTACCACATCCCTATATCCTCTGTTTTTCAAGTATATGTCTTATGAGTTTCCATGTGATAATAAACTATTAAAAACTCAGTCAGTTCTCAAATGTCCCCTTTTCTGAGCAGGCTGACTCTAATGAATACATCACTCTCTGTATTCCCAATGCGTGTCACCCATTTGGTATGTTATTATTTTTCTCTTTGGATTATCCTGGTAAACAGAGAGAATCTTTAGTTTATTCTTTCATCTCCTACCCGGATACTGTGTTTCCAAAATTAGTGGTTGGCCGATGTATGAACTATCTGTGAGTTGTAAAGATTCACCAACAACTACTTAAATGAATGGGTGAAAAGTTACAGATGCTGGCTGAATGGCTCATAGATTATGATCAAATTGAAAGTTATTGACAAGTTCTGGTGGCTCTATACTAGACCAAGAGAATGGTTTCAATGAATTGGATGAAGGGATGGATAGATGGAAGGCAATAAGTGAATAAGTAGTTAATTATCTTTGATTCTTCACAGTAGTAGTCTCTGAAAACAGAAAAGGAGGTAGTAACTGTTATAATTTAGATAGCCTGATACAACTTTTATCATACTTTTATTGTATGTTTTGTGACATTTGATTTTTCATTATAAAAGAGAGAGATAAAAGCAATCTCAATAATATTAGAAGGCTAATACTGTTTCTAAGAGTCAAGAAAATGCCTCAGATAGCTTCTTCAAAACTACAGAAGAGGTGAAATCTAGGGTAAAATAAAAAGTTTGGGGACCGCTAGGACAGGCGCACCTACCAATTTCAGTACAGTCTCCCAGAGCTCTTCTTCTGTCTTCTGGAGAAGGCACTGAACCATGGTGCTGTTTTTACAACCAGCCGTAACAGCAATTTTTTTCAATAGATCACAGGCCACAACAAAAGTCAAAAGTAGTATTTATACCTCTGTCAATATAGCCAAGAGTTCTACCAATACCCACTTTCCAATGATGGTACATGTTTGTTCAAAACATGCAATACCAGAAGGTGTGGGTTCTGGGTCCCTCAGAGTGTTGCATCTACTTCTAATTGGAATTTGATGCAGACTATTTAAATATTGGAGCCTGTGTTAACTTTATAATTTGCTAAATGGAGCGGGGAGTGGTGGCACGCACCTTTAAACCCAGAACATGGGAGGCAGAGGCAGGCAGATCTCTGTGAGTTTTATGCTAGTCCAGTCTACAGAGTGAGTTGAAGGACAGCCAGGGTTACATAGTGAGACCCTGTCTTAAGAAACAGAAACACATACTTTTGTAAATGTGCACACCATTGTGAATGTGGATGGGTTAAAAGAAGTCATGTGCAGCGTGGTGAAGAAAATACCCTGAGAATTATACCATCTGGTATAGAGTCATTTCCTCCAAGCTCTGGCCAGGTGGCTTTACCACTGACATATGGATTGTATCTGTCTTATGAGCAGAAGTTATACATGTGATGTGCTCAGGAAGGTGACCCTTGATGTCACACCAAAACTCACACAAGATTGCAGTATGCCTAAGGAACATGATTCACACAAAATCACTCCAGAACTTTCAGAGCTTGGCCTAGATGTGAGCCCCAACCAAACTCTATCCATTGACCTTGTCAACTGTTTCCTCATGGTAAGAAAGATCCATGAGGAGAGAAACAAAAGGGCACAGAAACTTCCCAGCATGCAATTTACCTCAGCCAAGGGCCTGGCGTTCTTCTTGACCAGGCCTGCAGTGAGGGCCACTCCACTTTCAGAAACAGCCCTGTAGAAGAGATTCTTGGCCAAGGGAGACAGCACCTGGTAGAGGAAGGTAGAGGAGACTTTGTACACATAGTGACTCATAGACTTATGTGGGATCACTGATGACAAACATGAGGCCTCAACCTTGGTTCTGCTGGCGCCTAACCAACTTGGCATGACATCAGTGGCCCCACATGGCAGTCAGTATCAAGTATTTTCTGTCCCTATAGCTGAACTTCATTTGGACTTCCCTCTGGAAAGAATCACAGAAAACATCTAAATTGAAGAAGACAAAACTGAAAGACAAGTTCATTCCAACAGACAGGTGCCCACACACTGAGTGTCTAAGCAGAGAAAAGAGACTACTAAGCAAATGGAAGCTGTAAGCAAGCAGGCATAGCTATCCTTACAGCTGATAAAGTATACTTCAGCTAAAACTAATGAGCTAGCAGAACACTGCATATTAATAAAGGGAGCAGTTCATCTAGAAGATACAGCAATTATGAAGCAAATATTTGGAATCTCATAATTTCCTTTTTATTAAATCAATTAATTTATTTTTTAAAACAGTCTTTTCTCATTTTACATACTTATCACCCTCCCACTCTCTCCCCTCCTCCTGCTCCCTCCACCTTCCCTGCACTCTAACCCCCATCCAGTCCTCAGAGTGGGTACAGCTTCCCCATGGGGAGTCAATAAAGTCTGGCACATCACTTTGAGGCTGGACCAAGGCCCTCCCCTCTGTACTCAGTTAGACTGGGTAAGGTATCCCTCCAAAAAGAATGACCTCAAGAAAGCCAGTTCAAGCAGTAGGGATAAATTCTGGCCCCACTGCCAGTGGCTACGAAGACTGCCCCAACCACATATCTGTCACCCACATTCAGAGGGCCTAGTTTGGTTCTATGTAGGTTCACCCACAGACAGTCCAGAGTCAGTGAGCTCCGACTAGCTCAGGTCAGTTGTTTGCCTGGGTATCCCCATCATGGTTTTGACCCCTTTGCTCATATTAGTGCTCCTCCCTCTCTTGGACTGGTTTCTGGAATCTTGGCCCATTGCTTAGCTGCAGATCTCTGCATCTGCTTCCATTATTTGCTGGATGAAGATTCTATGATGACCATCAAGATAGCATGGAAAGAGATATCTTGATTGAGGGAGCCATTACGGGGCTAGCATGAAACCTGGCACCAGAGAAATTCCCAGGAATCCACAAGGATGATCCTAAGCACTAGTGAAGAAGATGCCTGAGCTGGCCTTTCCCTGTAATGAGATTGATGACTACCTTAATTGTCATTATGAAGCCTCATAATTGCATTAAACAATTGACATAAAAGCCACCTAGGACATAATATAATACTAATGGAAGACTTCAACACCCAACTCTTATATTTAGAAATATCTTCCAAATGAAAAAAAAGCAAAGAAATTTCAGAACTAAAATATAGGATGAATTAATATGGATTTAACAAATTTATACAGAACAAAACATCCAAAAGAGAGGGAATACAAACACCTTTTTGTTGAAATTGGAGCCTTCTCCAAACCAATCACACCATAGCACACAAATCAAACCTTAAAAAGTACGAAGAAATTGAAATTATCTCTATGATCTAATGAGATCTCAATGAAGTAAAAGTAAAAATCGATGATAAATGTTTAAAGTTATGATCTCATCTTAAGGAGCACAGAAATATTACAAAATCAATATGCATGCAAATACAGTAAGGTTAATTAAATTTTTCCATAAACCCATTTCAATTTATTATCAGGCTGCAACTAATATATGGAGGAAATTAAAGTTGTTAGACTGTAAGTGTGAAATCAATGTATCATATGAAAAACACTGAAACCAAGGAACTAATGGAAGAAAATGAATTGTGATGACTTTTCTGTATAAATTATGAGATTATTTGTATTATTTAGTTATTTCATTAAGAAACTAGCATGAAAGAGGCCTTAAACTCTTTTCTTATAAGCAAAACGTTTCAGTTAATGAACAAAATAGCAGAAGTATCCAAAACGACCCTATGTGTAGAAGTATCCAAAGATACACTATGTGCAGGAGTATTCAACTAGAGAATGCATAAGCTCAAGGCAATTTTAGGCTTGCTGTAGAGTTACAGTAGAAGAAAAAAGTTATAACTGTATAATTGTTATGTATGGAAAATCGTAGTAGAATCAAACTAAATTGGAAAGTTGAGAAAAGTTATATGACACACATAAGAAAAAGAGAAACAAGAACACACACACACACACCGAGTGAAAGGAGAGATGATGGATAGCAGGTAGAAAGAAGCCAGATGACAGATGCATGCAGAGACTGATAAAAAAAAATGTGGGAATACTACAGAAATACAGGCCACAATGTCCTCCTTGGGATTTGTCTGCACTTTTCCTTATCTCTAAGGAAAATAAAAACATTCTCCTCTAAATATTCTGCTGGTGAGTCAATGCATTTGAAAATGTGGTGATGAGGTGACACTCTGACCAATTTCAGGGAGCTGGAGGACTACTTGTGACGCCCAGAAGTTTCCACAGATTCCCTTGGTGCCTCCTGCTCCTCATCGCCACACCAAGAAGACTCCCCAGGCCGTCAGAGGTGTCTGTGAGCTACGTTCTCTGTCCTGTCTCTCCCTGTTGAAATGTCTGTCCGTCCGTCCTTCCTCACAGCCATCTGGTTTCCCAACTGGACCCTCAGTCCCAGATACTGCTGGCCTCCTTATTGGGTTTGCAGAGCCATGACACCTTCTCAGAAGACCCCTGACAGCTCCCAGTGCTGCAGTTCCCTCTGGGTAGGTTTATCCTGGAGCCAAACAGTCAACCTGCTCTGCTGCATGCACACCCTTCCCTTTACCACCTTGCCAACCGTGGATTCTACGCTAGCGTGAAAGAGAAAGAGAATTCAATAAGTGAGAAGAGAGATAATACACCACAAGAACTTTTATGGGGCATACAAGTGCCTCCTAGGAGCCAAGGAGGGTTTGGCTGTTAGTCTTCCACTGTCTAATGCTGACAACAAAAGAGCCAACCTGAATCCAGATACTGAAAGCTAAGTTCCCATGGCTATACTGACTGATCTCCAAGGGACCTTAGCAGCTGCTATCATGCCTGGATAAGCCCTGGTGCCGGGACACTTACAAGAACAGAGACACTTTCACCTCCTGCTGACTCTCCGAAGATTGTGACAGAGCCTGGGTCTCCTCCAAAGCTGGCAATGTTGTCCTGAACCCAGTGCAGTGCAGCCACCTGGTCCAAGTGACCTCAGTTCCCCAGGCTGTGTTTATCGCCTGTGCTGCAAGGAAACAGGGTGAAGGTAGATACATCCTGGCTGAACTCTCAGAGCGAGGAAGAGGCTAGGGCTCTTAGTGAAACAAACTGAGTCCTGAATTCCTGACACATGTCTTCACCACCTCACATCTCTCCAGAAATGCTCTGTCTGGGACTCTACGCTCATCTTCCAGAAACTGTGTAGCCCAAGAGTTCGAGAGGAAACACGACAGACAAACCCTTCCGCTCCTGAGTGTACTCAGTTCACACTGCAGAGCACAGGAAACAGGAGTGAAGAAATTTTAGTATCAAGTGATGAAAGGGATTTGAAGACTAAACCAGCTTACAAAAGGTACAGGGATGGGGACCGTGGGTGATATTTCCTAGAACCGAGAGAGGCCTCTTGGAAGAAGGGGGCGTGAATAGAGACCTAAACAAAATGAGCTTGCATGCTTATGAATATCATAAAATATTATTCCTGTTAAAAGAAGCAGCAGGTGTAAAGACCTCTGGGAACAGGAGTGTGAGGGTAGCCAGTAGCAGACACAGGCAGAGCAGGTGCTGTGAGCCTTGGTAAGTTCTTTATTGTTAAAAGTGAGAGCTGTCTGCAGAAACAAGATATGCTTCAGCCTGTGTCTCTCACAGCGCTCTGGCCACTCTGTAGAAAATACATGTCTTACAAGTAACAGGTTTACTAAAAGCAAAGCAGAACAGTGGTTATAACAATAATCCAGTCCAAACTGTAAGACTCTGGTTAGAGTGGAGCAGGGAGCAGATGAGAAGAGGACACAGAGTTTGTTTGGAAGGTGGAGTCAAAAGGACTGGTTGGTTGATTAGATGTTGAGTGTTAAAAAAATAGGAGTCCCAAATGTTCCCACGGCTTTTATGTTGAGCAAACAGGAGGTGGAATGGCCAGCAGCTGCTCAGCAGTTGCAGGGAAAGGGGGGAGGTTTTGTTCTGTTCTCTCTGCCTGGAATAGCAGAAGCTTGGCATGACTCAGTCTACTTCTGAGAGCACGGTGACCACTCACCAAAACATGCTTCAAAACTGGCTGTTAGCTAAGTTTGGGACAGCAGAGAAAACAACGGACAAGTCTGCTCAGAAGCAAGTGTAGTGAGTGAAGAATTAATTGACAGGTGAGGTCCATTACTGAAGGACCAGAATGTATTGCGAAGGAGCCTGGCAGAGGCCTCTAAAATGCAAGCCATTACTGGAACTGGGTCCTGGCATCTTTGACCTGGAAGATGTTACATTTTGGATGTGCTCTTATGAAAGAACTATGGAGCAACAGACCCTGTAAAATGTGAGGTCCTGTGAAATGTCATTAAGACGCTGGGTCCACTGCCCTTGGAGGTGTTGAGCTCTCTGGGCTAGGGTTAGTTCCCTAGTGAGCCAGTTATAAAAACAGTGAGACTTCCCAACTCCTCCCTCCAGCTTTGTGTCCCATCATGCAATCTCTTTTGCTTGTTGCAGTTTTTATTTCTCTCCCTCTGCCATGTTGATCTCAATAAGCACCCTCACCAGACCTCAAACAGAACAAAGAAACGTATCCTGCACGTTAGCCTCTTAAATCCTAAACTCAATAAATATTTATCTTATAACTATCACAAGATCTGGTGTTCTGATATGTAATCCGAAAACAGACTAATATGGGGGCTAGTGTGTAGAAAAAAAGTTCAAGACTCTGCCTGAGGAATCCCCAGATGCCTAGACGGTATTGAATGACCACCACTACCACGTTTTCATGGGCAGACAGGACCAGTCCATCATAGGTTGATGCCTCACCCAACACTAGTCCACCTCCATGAATCCACACCATCACTTGGAAAGGACACAACAACACCGATTATCAGAAGCCTCCTCTGGAGGGTCACAAATGTTGTCTAGTTTGCTTGCCTATATATAGGCTGAGTGGGCCATCACCCAAGCCACAGAAGTACCTAGCAAGGCTGTAGTAGGCAGCCTTTCCTCGCCAGTTCCCTCAGCTGGGGTGAGTCATCTTGCTCATTTCTCACCTATCTGCCAATACTCACGGGCTCTGTCTTTACAGGGCTCCTTAGACTGAAATCATCACCATGGAAACATCCAAGGCCAGTGATGTCATGCTCACACAACACTCCATCCTCTTCATGTCAGTGTTTATGTGAACGGCTCGTGTTTAGCTTTCTCAGACTCTATGTCTGACTGTGCATATGGTGACACTGAGCGCCACAATAGGATAAATGAGTGACAGTCCCACCCTGTGCCTCTACCTTAGACCCAATAAAAGGTCTCTCTCCTTTCTCCTGTTTCCCCCCTTCTGACTTCCTCTCCTTCCCTGTCCTTTTCTTAATTTTCTCCTCCTCCTTCTCTTCCTCCCCCCTTTCTGAGATAAGTGTATGAATTCTTTAAAAGACAGTTTAACTATGGCTGGGCTGGTACTTGCTATGTAGCCCAGGCTGACATCAAACTTGCCCAGATCCTTTTGTCTCAGCCTCTTCAATGCTGGTATTGCTTATGCAAACTAAAGACTTCTCTTGACTCGACTTTGACTCGTCTTTTTTTTTTTTTTCTCCTTTTGATGCAGGGAATAAAACTCAGGGCCTTGAACATCAATACACCTACTTTACCATTAAGTTACATTGTGGTCCTTCTTGCCTATCTTGATATTCAGCATTAGCCCAAGCAGACTCAGGTGTTGATCTGAAGAAAGGAACAGAATCAAAGCCAGAGGAACATCCCACAGCTGCTACAGTGGCAGAGGCAGGGACAATAGCAGTTGGGGACAGCACAGCTGTGTCAGCAGACTGGCAGAGTTGACAGCAGCATCAGAAGCCAACAACACAGCAGTAACAGAGTCAGCAGCAGGAGAGGTCATGACCTTAGCAATGACAACAGAAGCATCAGTAGTAGCAAATGCAGTGGTAGTTTACCACCGTAGAAATGGCAGCCACAATGGTGGCTATAGCGGTGAGAGAGAGCTGAAATGTCCAAGGGAGTAGCAAGGACAGACACAAGAGGAACGGTAGAAGTAAAGAGGAAAGAAGGTGGAGAGCTGAGACTCAGAGAGGAATAGGACGACAAAAGCCAAAGAAGAAAACTGCAGGTCTTGGTTGTCAGCAGAGCCCAGAGAGCTGCCTGTTCTTAAGGACCCAGCGTCTCAGCCACCCTTGTTCCTGATTGGAGTTGGCTGGTATCAGAGGCTGGGAGTCCTGATATCCAGGCCTGACAGCTGTAATGCTTATTGTAGCCTAATGCTGGGGAATCCTAATATCTAGTTAAAATAGGAAACTGCAATGCTAGTCCCTGCCCAGAGCAGGGAGTGCAGCTGGAAGCTACTCTCAGGGGCAGGAGACCCCTGACTTCTATAACTGCCAAGAACTGTAACATTTGTCACCACGGGGCTAAGAGCTCTGGAAACCTTCTGAACACCTGTACACAGCAGGATGCCACCTGCTGCCCCAGCTGTGGACCACTGCCACAGAGGTGGAGAAGTAGTTCCTCTTCTCACTGACCCACGGTTCCCAGGGCAAAGGAACTGTGGCCGGATGCCCAGCTGTACTCTACTACTATATACCAGTTTCCCTCCTTCTGTGTGAGAAAACCAGGGAAGATAGAATTCTAATTGTAAGGCCATCTTCCCCAAGCACCAGTTCCTAGATGAGGAAATAAAGGCACAGGGGGTAGAGAAGCTACTCAATGCTTCCCTGCTTTGGAGATTCGAGCAATGATGAGCACATCACAAGCCACATCCCCAGATCTCAGTGGACCCAGGAGGTAAGCACTGTTGCCGGACGTCCCTGGGGAAAAATAAAGGAAATTGTCTTCTGTGATGAACAGAAGCTCTGGGCCTCTGGATCAGTTCATGCTTTTGGTGTCCCTGCCTCTAGCTGCCCTCAAGTCCTTCCGTTTGCACAGAGGAGCCAGATGTGGAAACTCAGAAGGTTAGAGAAGTCCCACCACTTACCGGCAGCCTATGACTCCTTTTCAAGTCTGCAGGAGTGTAAATATTTAGGTAGAGACAGTCTTCAGAAAACTGGAGAGGAACACTCTCCTTTCTATTGGTTAGGAGATCATTGACTATCCGCCCTGTCACTGGGTCTTGGGAGCACCTGAGAGGGGAGAGAGAACATCTGAGATTCCATCATACGCAGCCTGGAAATATTCGCTGGCACCAACCTTGCACAGGATGGTGTAATTCTGTAGGTGGGTTGCTATCACCTGATGGGGACACTGGAATGGAGATATCTCAGGATCCCATGGGAACTCCAGGGACACAGTCTTCTTGTCCTACAGCAGGAGAATGATTTACTATGTCTCCCTTCCCAGAATCTTAGCTCTGCCCTGGCCAAGGACCTAGATGCTCATATGTTGGCTTGCCCTTAGAGATGACGTTCCCTGCACTCTGCTGGGCTCTATTCAGTGGGCTGCAAAGTTGACTGAGTTTCTCTATCAGATGAACACGCTCTAGTCCTGGGGTGACTGCCATCAGCCACAGAAATGCCTTCAAGTGGCAGAGCTGTATACTAACTATCATCTCATCGGTGACCTTAGGAGACCTGCTTTCCTGGTCTGCTTCACCCACTGATATGCTGAGTGACCTTGGATCATTTCCTGATCTGGGCTCCAACCTTCCAGGTCTCTATGAAGAGCCTTGCATCCCTGACCTACTAAGGTTCTACCATCAGTTACTGAAGCAACCACCATTACCCTCCTAAAAGGCTCCCCAGGCCACTCAGGATTAGGATTAGTAATCTTACTGAAGTCTTCCAGTGAGCCAGGCACTGGTTTATATTATGGACACATTCATCAGTGCCTTAGGTCAGCTGCAGAGGTGAGCTCCCTCTTCATCCTCATTGCACGTATGAGAAAACAAGGTACAGGGAAGCCAGGGAACCAATCAGAGAGCTCACCACCTCGGGGACCCAGTTGTGCAGTGTAATTCATATTCTCAATGAATTACAAGCCACGCCACCAGATCTCGGTGGACCCAGGAGCCCAGCACCTATTGCTACTGGCTTTTAGAAGCAACAAGTGAGGTCCTCAGCTGTCAGGATGAGGCAGCTATCAGGGGGCAGAAGTGAATCAACAGCAATGGTTCTACATTTTATTCTGGGAGCTTTTCCTACATAAGGGGTTTAATAGTCGTAAAAGCAGGAACTCAATTGTCAAAAAGAGGAATCGGTTAATTTCAACAGAAAATAAAGACTAAGATTGCTATTATGATGTTGTTGTTGATGATGATGATGGAGGTTTGAGACAAGGTTTCTCTGTGCTACCCTGGCTGTCCTGGAACTCACTTTGTAGACTAGGCTGGCCTCGAACTCACAGAGATCCACTTGCCTCTGCCTCCTGAGTGCTGGATTTAAAGCCATGTGCCACCACCACCTGGTTGAGATTACATCTATCATTGTCGTGATTATTACACAGCATTTGTTTCCCCAAGGACAGGGTAAAGTTATTTCAGTAAGCCTAGGGTTTAGGCAGAGTTTATTGAGGGGACTTTTTGGAGAAAATTTAAGAATAGATTCATAGTATTTGATTAAGTAATGCTATTTCTTAGAACTTATCCTAAAGAACTCATGACTATATGGAATAACTTAGTTCCAACACTTCTTCATGGTCATATGTGTATGCCAATTATACCAAAGCCAACTTTGACCCCAGAAGTTAAAGACTGGGTAAATGTAATACAGTGGTGATGCTAAAATGAAGAAAATTGAAAGTAACACAGTGCTATCCAATGGCAGAGGGTGGCTTCCAGCATACTCATGAGAGAGACAGGCACTTGCCAGACTGCAGAGGCCTGTGATGTACAAGAGACTGTAAACGTGTCAGATGGTAGTAACAGTTGTCTCTAGGTAGCAAGCCCTGTGGGTTTGCTTTCCTCTGCTTTGCATCTTGTATTTCCTAACTTCACTGTACTGAGTATTCATTGCATAAATTACCAAAATGTAAATCAGCAGGAGTTAAGTAGTTAGGTATAACAGCAGAAAGAGGGTTCTAGAAAGCTGGGCAGTTCTAAATGTTTCAAGCTTCCACAGTGTGCTTTCTTTGTTTGCTTTTCCCCCAGCAGTTGGAAGACTTTTGTTAGGGGTGAAGAAACACACACACACACACACACACACACACACACACACACACTGCAGGCACACAGAGAAAAAGACCCTCTGTAAAATAGTGGAGACTCAAGAAGCGGAAGTCCTCCCCAGTGTTCTTGATTCCAGAACAAAGAGTTCAAGTACTGGGTTGACTTCTTCCTATGTCAGTCTGAGACAGAATTCCTCCAAAAGAGACCCAGGCTCACCCCAGTGGCTTACATAGGCAGGTAGGAGGTGGCGTCTTCCACAAAGTTCCAGGGCTCTGCAGGCTGTGGTGGAGCAAACCTCAGAGAACCAAGAGGAGGCTTGGCAAAGGGGACTCCCAGGAAGACGGCCAGAGGCTGTGCAAATCCTTCTAAGTTGATGTATTTTCCCAGGACTTTGCCATGAACAGTGTCCACAATGGGTGGTGAGGATGAGTGTCCTGCTGGACAAGAAAACATGAGGACACATCAGAGGACAAAGACCAGACATGGATTTCTAATGGGTTTCCCCACTGGCTAAGCATGAGGTCTTGAATGAATTGCCTCAGTCTTGTCTGCCTCAGTATCTTCTTGCTTTAGATAACATTGGAACAATCCTTATCTTAGAGGGTTGATAAAGGAGCAAGCTGGATGGAATTGTACCCAGAAGAGAATTTAAGCAGAAATCGATGTGAAAGAACGGTGGCTGCCAGAAACATTTGAGAGCTTCAGTATCATCCTCAGAAGTGTCTGGAAATATGTGTCTGTTAACAACCTGATGGTGGCCCTGCATGGTGGCTCAGATCTTTATATGAACCCAGGAGACAGAGGCAGATGGATATCTGTGAGTTCAAGGCCGGCAGGGTGTACATAGGGAATTCCAGGATAGACAGAGCTGAACAACCGGATCATGTCTTTAAAACATAGTAATAAAAGAAGATCCCAGGGCTGAGCTTTATGGAGGATAAGAGGATGGACAAAAGGTATCTTCTCCTCTCAGAAGGCTGATCTTCTAGGAAAGGACCACAGATACACTTGGCCCCATAATGCTGAGTTGAAGTGTGCCCTAGAAGGAGTGTACACTTCTGATTTTTGTCTCAAAGGAAGAGCTAGTACTTGTAGCTGGAGGTGAGGAGGAGTGAAAGAGGGGAGGTGAAAGTGGACAGGGATGAAGCAAGAACATGCAGAAGAACAGGAATGGTTCAAATGGAGTAGAACAGAGGGTCTTCTGGGATGGCTGAGCAGCCTATGAATACCATTAAAGAGCCTGGAGGAGTTAAAGGGCATGGGAGTGAGCAGGTGCCCGTGAAGGAGGGCTGCACGCTCCAGGCTTGCATCTTACCCAGGGGACAAAGAAGCATGAGCAATTGTAGAGTAATGGAAACAAGTACTAGACATTCCTTCATGGACTCCAAGCTGTAGCATCCAGAGTCGGACCTTCTTTACACCCCCACTACCCTCATTTTTACAGTGGGCAAGCCTTTCTCATTTGTCTGCTTCTTCTTTTGTCCCACTTCAGTTACTGGGGGACTGAGGGAATCAGATGGACCCTCTTTCAAGAGGCAGGGTACCTTTGCACACCTTCTCATGATCAACCGTGTCTCTCCTTCAAGAGGCAGGGTACCTTTAAACACCTTCTCATGATCAATTACGTCTTCACGTGACTGTGTGACAGAATAAAAAATGATTCCAGGATTCCCTCTAATGGAAGAATAACCAATTTTATTAAATCTCTGTACTGAAAACAGCGAACAGAACAGGATCTGGGACACACGGCATTGACAAGTAGAATACTGTGGAAATTTAACTTGTCTCTTGCTGTTGTTTTCTGTTAATTATTAGAAAATACTAACTTAATTTTTGGAAGACATTTATATATACTTAAATTATGTTTTGGTGACATGCTTTATGATTATTGGGTTATCAGGACATAACCCCATTGTAAGTCTAACATATATTTATATGAAGAAGAACAGCCATTAACACTGGACTACAGAGCTGTAACCATGCTCCAGGTAATTAAATCCAATGCTTCCTTCCTGTCCTGGTTGTTAACTATCATCAAGCCACCTAGAGAGGAATTCTCTGGATGACTTACATATAAGGATGCCTGGGGATGATGGTAGTATGACTACCTTTATAATGAGGAGGAAACATTATAAATAAACGCGGAGATACAGATGAGAAAGGAAGGACTGATCCCTGTCTAGTGTGGAGGTCTCGGGAAAGGAAGAAGACGTGGTATCAGTTCAAGGCAGGTGCTGCGAAGAAGCAGGTAAGCTGTCCTAAGACGATGTCACAAGTCAGGAGCTATTAAAATGGAAATCACTACGAGGTAAGGGAAGGTCAGTGCAGGTGGTGGGGTCTATGTCTGTGACTACTCTGCAGGGGCCACTGTGAAGTGACAGGAGGGAGGGCTGTCAAAGCGCAGATGGCCGCCTCTGGGGCTAAGAATTTCTATGTTAGGACATCAGGACGAGGGTGTAGCCCTGAAGAAGTACAGGGAGAAGCAGAATAGGTTGGTAAAGATGCTGAGAGCTTCAGGAAAGTGGAGGGAGTCTGAACAGATCTTGGTTTGGCCTCCATTAGGCTAACACCAATCCTGCCCCCAGATAGAATGGGTAGAAACCAAACTCAGCACAAAAAGTTTGGCTAAGGTGGGAGCTATGGTCAAGACCACCTACAGTAGTTCCCACTTAGATTGTGTGGAATGCACACATATCAATGTCTTGAGCAATCACTGTGTGCTGGAGGTGTGTCACATTCCTTGAAACTGTTTCTCAAAGGGATTTTACTAGGTGATTGCAAATGTACCCTCTTCACAGAAGAACAACATGAACTTGCCAACAGCTTATGTAATCCTCCTAGGCTGGGAATGGGGTGACCAGCAGCAAATCATGTTCCACTCCGAACCTGGCTCCTTCTCTGCTTTATTCTCAGTTCTTGGCTTCGCACAGTATCATGTGTTTAGAGAGAAGATACATTCTAAACAGATTCTAGGCTGCCAGTGTTCTGGTAGCCAAACACCAGCTCTGGATTCAGGAGTTCCCGATAGACGAAGGTGATGTTAGGAGTACTCAATGACCCTGTGAATCTTAATTTTTCAACCAAGAAGAAGACATCAAAGATAAACACTGAGATCCAATAAAGTCTCGTATCAACCAGGAATTTAATCTGTTCATTGGATGCTTTGACATATATGGCTTTCATGCCCCCATGGGAACTGTGGTCCCTAGGGTACATAAAATCCAGAACCATCAACCTCTTTCATTCATGTCCCACATCTTGGACTGCCATCTTACATGCTGCACCTACCACCTGTGATGACCTGACCACACCTCCAATTTCCTATTAATGTTTTATCTTAGTATAATTTTAGTATGTGTGGATGTCTGATGTGTGTGCATGCATGTGCACATTTGCATGCATAAGTGAAGCTGTGTGCATGCTGTGGTGCACATATGGGGGGGTCAGAGGAACACCTTAGGCCTTGTTCCTCACCCACTACCCTGTATGAAATATGGTCCCTTTGCTGTTTGTTGTGGTGTACAGTAAGCTAGCAGGCCAATGAGCTTCCAGGGATTCTTCTGTCTCCACATCTCATCTTGCACTAGGAGTACTGGACTGCAGATGCACATTACCACTGCTGGTTTCCTGTGGATTCTGGGGATGTTTGCACAGCAAGGGCGTTTCCATGTGAGCCAGCTCCTCAGCCCTGCTACACTCCATTGCAAATCAACCCCCTGGTTTATCTACCCCTGTCCCATACCTCCTCTAGCCTAGGCCCACCTTAAGTACTCTAGAAGGAACCACCGAAGGCACCCTCCCAGTAACCCAGTGGGGAAGGTAATAGGATTATGCTGGCCTGCCCTGTCACCTGGCAGGATGAACCCAGTCAATACCCTAGCTCACCCAAGGACCTATGGCTGCCACACCTGTGCAAAGGCGCCTTTAAGAGAAGCTCCTGCCCACTCCCAAATCTCTTTCTGCCAAGACCAACTCCTCTTGGCTCCCTCCTCTCTTCCCGTTTCCTCCCCTCCCTTTTTCTTTCTCTCCCTTCTTCCCCCTACCCTCCCAATACCCTTTTCCTAAACAAAACTCTATACCCAAGCTCTCTCTGCATGGCATATTCTATTTCCCACCCGCGCTCCTCACCCACCCTAGGACCCACCAAGTTCTCTCCTGCACTGAGTCTCACAGAAGGCATTGGTGTCAAAACTTCTTCAGAGATGGACTAATAAAAGGTCACCTAACTGAGTACTTTGCCTGTGGACAAATGGTTCAGAAGTACTGAGTTGAGATTCAGAATTTTCTACCAAGCTTCCTTCCATGATCAAGTAAAATGTAGACTAATAAGGAGAAAATAAATAGCCTTCCTAATCCCCTTTGTGATACATGCGGTTACCTCCTTGTTGCCCTCTGTGCCTGTCATGTGATCCTAGGTCTCAGAGTGTTTGCCTTTCTCTGACTCAGCATGTCCACTCCCTTCAATAGCTGGTCTGGGCCACTTGTTTAGAGAGTGAAAACCGCTGCAGAAAGGAGCCTGTCTCAGCTTTACACTATTCGCCTCTGCCCACCTCTACCAGATATGACCGGTTTGAAATGTGCCCTCACGACCCCAATATCTGTATTCCAGAAAGACTCGCCCCATGCTGTGAAAGCGGCAAGAGACACCAAGATCAGAACGTAGAGGCCCATGGTAGAAGGCTTAGGGGGACAGCTGGGTCTCCAGTCTACCACTAAGGAGACACACTGATCCTTCCCCAGTGCTGGAGACTTCGGGCAAATTCCTCTCAATCAACTGTATAATCCCAGACAAGGACAATCTTTCTATTCCAAGAACTCTATAGATTTCCTAGGAAACCTGGTGGCAGAAAGCCACCCCCAGTTTACCCTGCTTTATCTAAGTTGTTTGAACTCTGCACCCAGATTGCAGGAGCCCACAAACTGGTCCAGCAACTTCGTGCCTGAGCATCTCTCCCTGTGGCACTCAGTGCTCAGCTACTTCCCAAACCCAGGCACCAGGTCTGTAGACACCTCCAGGTAGGGCGACTTTCTGGTCTTGGATCCTCAACTGGAGGAGTTCAGAACCCCTTAAAGCCACACAGTTGATCCCCAGGGAACAAGGACACACAGTTGATCCCCAGTGAGTGAAAACACACCTCCCATCTTCTTTTAACTGTTAGAGACTTAGGATCTTATTTTGGTGTAAAAAAAAATCTTAAATTTCATTATTTTCTTTAGACCTAAATTATCTTTTGAAGATTCCTGTCAATTGGTCTAGTCTTCTGTCATGTATTGCCATGGTCAAGGAGCTCACAACCTTTCAGAGGAGAGATTTGGGGATAGGTGTTTTATTTTTTTAATAAGTGAACAACATATTTTTTTAAAAAAATAGCTTTTAAGTTAGCCTCTGTAGTGTAGAAACCAGCTATGATAAGCTAAATATGAACAGACCACCCAAAGGAAGTTCTTTACTTCCAACCATTATCACCTGCCAGTGTAGGATTCAGCCATTGATAAGTTTAACAGAGGCCTGAGTCTCGGTAGTTTACCCTAAAGCAATACCTGGTTGCTGGAAGGATCATAAACTGAGATTACCTGAGCACCACCCCAGAACAGACCATCCAAAGGAAATGCCCAATGTTCCAACAGCTGTAGACAGGATCACCTGCCAGCACACACTCACCAGGACACCCCTAGACAAATGTCAGCCAGTCAGGGGTTCTGAACCTTAGAAATCCCTCAACCCCACTACTATAAAACCCAACTCTAACTGAACTTGGGGCTCTCCCTTTATTTCAATACATTGGACATGCAGAGAGACCGAGTTTGCAAACTTGCATAAAATAAAGGCTCTTTGCTTTTACATACGGGACTGTGTCTCTTTATTGACTTTTGGGGAACTTTCCGGATTTGGGCATAACACATAGCATTGGGTTTTGCCATGAAGTCTGATGCAGACTTTGTCATTATTGGTCTTCTATTCCTCTTCTTTGTCCCTCTGCTCCTATGGCTCATCCTTTTCCCATTAATAGTCCCCCTTTGCCCTTCATTCTTCTTTTCTTCTCCCATGGATTCTTCTAGTTTCATGACCACTTAGCAATGTCTGTACAAAAATGTAAACATTAAAATCCAACACCAAGTATGAGAAAAAAAAGATAGCATTTGTCTTCTGAGTCTAGTTTGTTTTGTTTAACAAAAATGGTTTTCATTTTTGTCTGTTGTTATTGAAAATGTTATAACTTCATTTTTCTTGATAGTTGAATAAAATTCCATTATGTAAATTTATCCCATTTTCTTCATTCAGATGTTTATTGCTAGGCATCTGGACTGGCTCATTTCTTAGCAATTGTGAGTACTACAGAAATAAATATGGATCATCATGATCACTTTGGTAGGATGTAAGTCTTTTGGGCATAGATGTGGGGGCAGGTTAATTGGGTCATATAGAAGTTCTATTGTTAAACTTTTGAGGAACCTCTATTTCCGTTTCTATAGTTGCTGCATCAGGTATACTCCCACTAACTGTGAATAATGATTTGTCCTCCTAAACAGCTTCACCCATAGTCATTGTCATGTGCTTACTTTTGTTCCAAACAACAGAAAGGGAAGGGACACTACCAAACTCACTCTATAAAGTTATTACTACCTTGATACCCAAACACATGAGGAGACAATAATAAAACAATAGACTGATCTAGTTATTGACCGTATACATAAAACTCTCAATAAAACATTTACAACTGAATGCAAGAACACATTAGGGGGCTGGAGGGATAGCTTAGCAGCAAGAGCATTTTTTGCTCTTGAAGAGGACATGTGTTCGGTTCCTGGTTCTCACATCATTTCTCATAACCATGGGTAATTCAGGCTCCAGGGAATCTGATGTACTATTCTGACCTCCCTGGGTATGAGGCAGGCATATGAAACACATGTTCATAGAGGCAATACATTCGTACACATAAAGTAAAATACATTTTAAAAGGAAATTAAAAGAAGTGTTTGTTTATTTATTTTTTGTTTTCGCAATTCAATCAAAAATTTCCCTCCTCCTCTTCTTAGGTCTTCTCCCCTTCCACATCTACTTCACTATTTCTCTTCAGTTACAGGCAAGTCTCCCATGGATATCAGTTGGCCATGGTATATCAAGCTTCAAGAAGGCTAGGCACCTCCTCTTTTTCTTTTTTTAAACTTTTTTGTTGATGTTATTGAGATATATATTTTTCTATTCTTCCCTCCCCTACTCTCCCCTCCACTTCTACCCTCTCCCATGGTCCCCATGCTCCCAATTTACACAGGAGATCTTGTCTTTTTCTACTTCTCATGTAGATTAGATACATGTATGTCTCTCTTAAGGTCCTCTTTGTTGTCTAGGTTCTCTGGGATTGTGAATTGTAGGCTTTTTTTCTTTGCTTTATGTCTAAAAGTCACTTATGAGTGAGTACATATGATATTTGTCTTCCTGGGTCTAGGTTACCTCGCTCAATACGATGTTTTCTAGCTCCATCTATTAGATTGCAAATTTCAAGATGTCATTTTTTTTCTGCTGTGTAGTACTCCATTGTGTAAATGTATCACATTTTCCTTATCCATTTTTCTATCAAGGGGTATTTAGGTTGTTTCCAGGTTCTGGCTATGACAAACAATGTTGCTATGACCATAGCTGAGCACATGCCTTTATGGTACGATTGAATATCTTTTGGGTATATACCCAAGAGTGGTATTGCTGGATCTTGAGGAAGGTTGTTTCTTAATTTTCTGAGAAATGATCATACTGATATCCAAAGAGGCTGTACCAGTTTGCACTTCCACTAGGAGTGCAAGAGTGTTCCCTTTACCCCACATCCTATCTAGCATGAGTTGTCATCAGTGTTTTTGATCTTGGTCATTCTTACAGGTATAAGATGGAATCTCAGAGTTGTTTTGATTTGCATTTCTCTAATGGCTAAGGATATTGAGCATTTCCTTAAGTGTCTTTCAGCCATTTTAGATTCCTCTGTTGAGAGTTCTATGTTTAGGTCTGTACTTCATTTTTTTTTATTGGATTATGTGTTCTTTTGATGACCAATTTCTTGAGTTCTTTGTATATTCTGGAGATCAACCCTCTGTCTGATCTGTGGTTGGTGAAGATCATTTCCCATTCTGTAGGCTGCCATTTTGTCTTGTTGACAGCGTCCTTTGATTTATAGAAGCTTTTCAGTTTCATGAGGTCCCATTTGTTAATTGTTTCTTTCAGTGTCTGTGCTAATGGTGTGTATTTAGGAAGTGGTCTCCTGTTCCAATATGTTCAAGTGTACTTTCCACTTTCTCTTCTATGAGACTTAGTGTGCTTATTTATAACTGAATAGCAACATGTAAAAGAATGAAAATAGATTCATATCTATTACCATGCACAAAACTCAACTCCAAACGGGTCAAAGACCTCAACATGAAGGCACCTTCTCTTCTATTAAGGTTGGATGAGGCAAGCCAGTAGGAGGAATGGGTCCCCAAAACAGGTGACACAGCCAGAGACAGCCCCACCCTTACTGTGAAGAGTCTCACACAATGACCAAGTTACACAACTGTAACACATATACAGAGGGCCTAGGTCAGTTCCATGTAGGCTCCCTGGCTGTCTGAAATTCCTTCTTACACCTGTCAGAATGGCTAAGATAAAAAACACAAGTGACCGCTCATACTGGAGAGGATGCGGAGCAAGGGAAACACTCCTCCACTGCTAGTGGGAGTGCAAACTTGTATAGCCACTTTGGACATCAATATGGGAGTTTCTCAGAAAATTGGGAATTTTTCTACCTCAAGACCCAGTTATATCACTCTTGGGCATATACCCAAAGGATGGATGCTCCACCACAAGAACACCTGTACAACTATGTTGATAGCAGCTTTATTTATAATATCCAGAAAGTGGAAACAACCTAGATGTCTTTCAACCGAAGAATGGATAATGAAAATATGGTAATTTACACAATGAAGCATGACTCAGGGGAGTATTACTCAGCTGTCTAAAACAATGACATCAGGACATTTTCTGGAAAATAGGTGGAACTAGAAGCAATCATCCTGAGTGAAGCAACCCAGACCCAGAAAGACAAACATGGTATGTACTCACTCATAAGTGGACATTAACTATAAAGTAAAGGAGGTCCATGCTACGACCCACAAACCCAGAGAAGTTGATATGCTACCCCAGCTGTCATCAGAGAGGCTTCACCCAGCAACTTACGGAAACAGATGGAGACCCTCAGTCAAACATTAAACAGATCTCAGGGAATCCTGGCGAAGAGGGAGAAGGATTGTAGAACCTAGTGGTGTTAAGGAAACCACAAGAAAACCCGCATAATCAACTAACATGGGTTCATAGGGCCTCACAAGATATTGTGTGTGTGATGTGTATGTGTGTGGGGAGGGAGGGAGGGAGGGAAAGAGAGAGAGCGAGAGAGAGAGAGAGAGAGGTGGATAGAAAGGTGAAGAGGAGTTGACAGTTGCTCAGAGAGGAAAAGACATCAAAATATATGGTGTGAAACAGATGAAATAAAAATTTAAAAGATAAACTTTTAAGACAGAGTTTAAAAAGTGTACATTGACCAAGCTGATTTGATCTCAGGGATGCAAGGTTAGGTCAGCATATTCAAACCAATAAATGTAACATACTATACAAATAAATTAAAGATAGGTACAAACAATAAAAACAATAAAACAAACAAACAGAAACAAATTTAAAGACTGTAAGCCCTGGAGAAACTAAGGATAGAAGGGACATTTTTCCTGACCCCATTTAAGTGATTTAGAATTGTTATATAGAAAATTACTGAACTGCATATGTTGGTCTCATGTCCTACAACTTTGATGAAAGTATTTATTAGATCTAGGAGTTTTCTGATGCAGCTTCTAAGCACATCTACTAAGAAAAGACCTCGATTTAAGACACTAAAGAATGAAGCTGAAAAAGACACTAGAAGATAGAAATGTTCAATGCCAATGTTATGGTTGCTTTGGGAGAATTTTTTGTCAGTTTCATTGAAGATAAGCATAGATTCCATCATGACTCATCAATTCCAGTTCTAGAGAATTGGAAATACGGGTCATACAAAAACT